ATTTCTTATTTGAAGCCAAAACATTGTCAAAAATGATTGTTTTGTCAAATATATGATGGCTAGCTCACTCTAATAGTCTAATTAACATCTAATTAACAATCTCTAAGGACGATTCTCCCTCAGATTCTTCTCCATGGATTCCAACATAGAGGTTTACGAGGATATCATTCTAACTATCAGTTTGTCGTCCTTTTCTCTCTTGTCTGGACTTAGATTCAGACCTATGATGTGTTTATGCCCCCCTGATGGGTTCCTCTAGTGCTCTTTGTCTCTTTCATTTCTCTGTATCTGCAGGTGTATCTATTCTCTACTACCCAGCCCATCGAAGTGGAGCAGGTGGGCAATGAGGATGTGTTTGACCCAATAATGCTAGGTGGGTTACAACTTACAAACCCAGTAATACTTAGTTGGTTACTCAGCATTTTATTGGTGAAAAAAAGGGTTTTGTCAAATTTTATAGTACCAGAATTGCAAGGAAATGCCATCAGTAAATATCTATTTTTATTTTTATTTATAAATAAATAAAGTTGAAATGATGACTAACCATAGTTGCAAATGTAACAGTGATGAAAACAAGGGATTCATTGCTCAAGTTAACATCCAACGCAGTGCCAAGAGCTGTTGGTACTACTGTGAAAGGAATAGTCCATGTGTAGCTTTATTTGTTAGAAATTTAAAGAAGATAAGGAAATATAATTTGCAGAAAAGGGAGGAAGATAAATGGCTGATCACAATACGACTGAAAAAACAAGGCAAAAATCTAACCTCTCAAACAATAATCTCTCCACGACATCAGTACAGTAGGCTTAAATCTTTCAGACCAAATCCAAGTTATCACATTTGCCAAAATAGCTTGCATTGCAAAATGGACACTGTTCATGAGAAGGGGAGCAGGGAACTTTCCTAAATGATCCCCTAGAAGAGTTTTGTTATACCTGCCCCCATTCAAATAGAAAATAAGACAGACACAGAGAGATTCTCAAAGCTTAAATATTCCAGAACAAACTAAAAAACACTTTTAGATTGACTAGTAAAGGGAGAAACTTACAATGTCAAAAATGTACTGAAAGTGTACCAAACAAGTATAAAAAACAATGTCTTCAGCACATCAGAAACAGAAACCGGACTTCTGGAAACCTGCTTTGATGTGTCGTCATAGTTTAAGTATCTCTCATCCCCAGTAGGATCAGAATACTTCTGGCCATTTGGGGAACCATCCTCTACATCAAATGGCACGTAGCTCTCTTTTCCATGTCTTGCAGAGACATCGCCTAGGTCAACACCGCCTGTCATTCTTTCCAAAGTGTTCCCACCAAACTGGCGTCCGTCTCCCTCTAAAGATCCATCTGCTACCTCACTGTTGTGTTGATTAACAAGAGGCAATTCAAAATCCAAATCCTCAGAACTGTCGCTCACATCTCTTACTTCAGGTGAATGATGTGTTCCTTTCTCATCAAACCAACCGGAGAAAGAAGGATCTCTCCTAAAAACCAACACGGGATCTCCACTAAAACCAACCCCAAGCTTCCGTAAGGGCAACTCACTTTCTACCATCTCAGACCCATACCTCCATCTGACTCTACTAGTCGCAGCAAATCACAACTTACCGCTAGCAGCTGGAACCGCGCTACAATATAACCTAGCGAGCTGCTCCGAACACTAAACCAAATTAACTGGATCTGGCAACTCGGGAATTCCTCACTTTTCCACCTAATAATCCAACAAGTTTCAAGTCCAAAAAACATTCAGAATCACAAAGAAACAGAACCTCAGAAATGAAAAAAAAAAATCTATTCCAAACAAAAGCAAGGATCAGAGAACGCGGAGATTCACACCAGTTTCGGGAAAGAAACTCCGAAAAGATGAAGAAAAAGAAGAACAGATTTGAGCGGTGTTCCGGGACCAGGATTCGGAATCCAGATCTGCTGTGTGGAGGAAGACGAATAGCGATGGGATGGAAGAAGGAGAAGCTCGTTTGAGGTCAGTTGTTACGTCGTTGTCTTGTGTTGGTATTAGGAAGAGTAAATGGGATCTGTTGAATGTCGCTAAGAATCATTCATGGATGCTGATGGTGATGATGATGATGATGATGATGATTAGGAGAACTCCAAGATATCTGCGGATATGCGCGGTAAATAAGAAGCAATGTCTGATCATCATATATAAATACGGAATACTTCTTACTAATTTTAATTAATTAGAAAAAGAAAAGAGCTAAAAATCCACTGGGTGCAAATGGGAGAATCTGATAAACACAGCGGGAGGAGTCCGTGTTTCCTGGGGATAGCTTTTTTAGTCAATACGGAAGAACGGGAGTTTTGGAGCGTGTTGTTTAGCACTTAAAAAAGAGCCGGATATTAAAAGCAATTGGAAGAAGGGAGGGGAAGAAACTAGACAGAATGGAAGAACCGGCAGAAGGAACGGAAAGAAATTGGAATAAAGTGGAAAAAGTTTAAAAAAATCTGAAAAATTTAGAAACTAAAAAAAATTTTAAATTTTTTTTTGTGTGTGTTTTATATTATTCTCGTTCTAATTCTTGTTCTTATAAATTATTATTATTATTATAAATTTAGATTAAAAAAACATTCTATATAACTATTTTATTCATAATTTTTTTAAATAGTTTAAAATATTGATGTTTTACTATTTTATCATGTAGATTAATATACAAAAAATGCTATCATTCATATTAAAAAGTTGATGAAAAAATAATAATGAGTGTAAATCATAAAAATAGTGAGATAAAAAAATGAAATACCCCGGAGTAATTTATAAACTATAGTTATGAACATAATAGTTGTAATAATAATAATAATAATATAGTGTTTTAAGAGTGATTTGTCGGAAAGAAGAAAGAGTTTGAAATAAAGAAAAATAGTTGAAAGAAAACTAGAAAAAACTGGAAGAAACTGGAAAAAATTGGAAGGAACTGGAAGAAAAGGAAGAAACTGGAAAAAATTGGAAGAGACTGGAAGAAAAGGAAGAAACTGGAAAAAATTGGAAGGGACTGGAAGAAAAGGAAGAAACTGGAAAAAATTGGAAGGAACTAGAAGAAACTGAAAGGAACTGGAAGAAACTAGAAGTTAAGAGTTCACACTCTAAAGAACATGCTCTTAGGGGGTGTATTCAATTAAGATTTTAAAAAATCATTTAAAATTCAAATGTATTCAATTTGGTTTTTAAAAATCATTTAAAATCTCAATGTATTCGATTAAGATTTTAAAAATTTCGTCTAAATCTAATGATATTAAAAATTCTATGGATTCTAATGTTCATAAAAGATATATTTTGATGCATTTTTGCCTTTAGTATAAATAGAATTCCCCGTTAGAAGTGTCTCAACATCTCATGTAAATCAATTGATGCATAACTTGGGGGATATGAGAAGATTTACATGTTATTCTAAATCCTTCCGTCAAGCAATATTTAGAGGACTTTTACTCTCTTGAATGTAGTGGAAACCCTAGGTCTCGACAATTATTTGAATTTTTTCTATCAATTTTGTAATCATTTATTGATTTAAAATAATCTATGGACATTTTGAATTCTCAACAAATCTTGACAATAAATCTATCTAAATCGATAAAGAATTAAAACAATCTATTGATTTTACATAATCAATAAAATATAAAAAAAATCTTATAAATCCTTTTAAAATCTGAATTGAGTACACCCTCCGAAAATTATTCAAGTCAATTCTTGGGCAATTAATTACTCGATACTAGCTATGATATGACCTTGTGGCATTTCAATTCTACCGGGTGATGCGTGATGCTTCACTAGCTATGATATGACCTTGTGACATTTCAATTCTATAGGGTGATTCGTGATGCTTCAATGATGTATTTTTGTAGATTTTAATTCATCATTAGGTTCTGCTATTCTTTAAATATCTTTTTGGGTTCATCATTAGGTTATGCTACTAGCTATGCTATTCTTTAAATTGCTTTTTGGGTTAATAAGATTGGATAGATTTTATTTTCAATTTAATGTATTTGATTGTAGAGGTAAAATTTGAAAAAAAAATTATATACATTAATTTTTTTGTTAATTTTTTTATATATAGTAGTTCTTTTTACTATATAATTTTTTTAATTTTACATGTACACATATAATAAAATAAATTGAATTAAAAATAAATTGATTTTATATTACTTTACAAATATCACATCTATTCACTATTAATCTACTTATTACATCACATCTATTCACTATTAATCTACCATCAAATCCTATTTTACCCATCACATCCATAGTCATTTTGGAAAATGCAAGACCAAAATATTCTCCTTAAATCCCTTAAAAAATAAACTCTCCCATGTTTTAGGGACGGAGGGAGTATTTGATTAATTGTAAATAAAGATATACAATAAGATTGGTATTAAAAAATATTTTAAATGTATTACTTTTAACCTTTTTTACTAATATATTTTAAAAGATATTATTGATCAAATTTTAAGTTTGAAAGGCCAATTAACCAGACACTTAAATAGGAATGGAAGGGGTAGGCTATATGGTTTGGTGTTCCACATTATACCTATGACATCATCCCACCACTTACTGCCTCTCAGCTCTTTCTCTTTCCCATCACCGTCCATCACTGGATTGGGGTATGGATCACGCCCAAATTATTTTCCTTTTTCACAATTTACACACCAATTATTTTCCTTTTTTACAAACTTTTTGCTTACTCAAATTTTAATTATTGTATTTGATTATTTTGACTACTCATTTTATAATATAATATAATTATGTTAGCGCTCATTTTTAAGAAAATTTGTTTTGTTTAAAGATATAATTTTATTTTTAAATATTACATTTCTAATCAAACAAATTAAATTAAAAATAAATTTGGTCAACGTTTGTAAAGAGAAATGAGAGAATAATTTGGGATGGAAGGTGATGGTGTAAATTACCTAATCGGGTAAACAGTACTTGATACGTCGTTTTTGGGTTAGTTCTTTTTATTCTTTTTTATGCATTTTTTATATTTTTAGTATTTAATTTTTAGTTCTTTAGTTTAGTTTTATTTTAATTCTCATTTTTACAATCTTTTATTTTTCTTTCATAAATAGTAGTTTTTTAATCATTTTTTACATTCTATTATTTTTATTTTATTTTTCTTAACCAAAAAATTATCAGATATCTTATTGTTTGGAGAAAAATATAGCAAAAGGCCAAAACGGAGTTCAAGTTTGAAAAGAAGAGATTGAATTTGGCCCAAAGCCCAAAGCCATCAACAAATACAACCCATCTCTGCTCCCTCATTCTAAGTCAACGAAGAAAGGAAAAAAATGCGCTCCATCTCCTTCTTCTTCGAAGAGTAACCGCGACGACCAAGCCTCCAACGGCTCTTCTCCAACGTTCGCCAAAATCAATGCTCCAACGGAAGAATTTGGCTCTCCATTCTATAAATTGAAGCTTCACAAGGGGGAAACAGAGGGGGGAACAACGAGAGGGGAACATCAACGGGAATAAAGCAGCGGCTTGGAGAGGCGACCGGCGAGGCGGTGGCCGGCGGTGGCAGTAGCTCCGGGCATGGTTTCTTCAAGCTCCAATTCCTCAATTTGTTCATCT